ACTTCTGTCACCTTGTCATTAAACTCCAGTAGGTTTGTGACACAGGATTTTTCTTCCCTGAAACCGTGCTGGTTGTCAATTATACAATTGTTTCTTCCCAGGTGCTCCACCACTCTCCTCTTGATGATCTTCTCCATGACTCTGCATACTATACACGTTAATGATACAGGTATGTAGTTTAGTGCCTCATGTCTGTCTCCCTTTTTAAAAATTGGGACTACATTTGCCATCTTCCATACCTCAGGGAGTTTCCCAGTTTCAGTGGATGTGTTGAAGATCTTTGTAAATGGCACACACAGCATCTCTTCTCCCTCTCTAAGGACCCACGGAGAGATGTCTGTACTCACCTAGTTGAGGTTGCAGGGGTCGAGTCCAAGCTCCTGTTGTGTGTGTGTGTGTGTGTGTGTGTGTGTGTGTGTGTGTGTGTGTGTGTGTGTGTGTTGTGTGTGTGTGTGTGTGTGTGTGTGAGTGTGTGTGTGTGTGTGTGTGTATGTTTGTGTGTGTGTATGTGTATGTGTGTGTGTGTGTGTATGTGTGTGTGTGAGTGTGTGTGTGCGTTTGTGTATGTGTGTGTGTGTGTGGTGTGTTTGTGTGTGTGTGTGTGTGTGTGTGTGTGTGTGTGTGTGTTGTGTGTGTGTGTGTGTTTGTTTGTGTATGCGTTTGTGTGTGTGTGTGTGTGTTTTTGTGTGTGTGTATGTGTGTGTGTATGTGTGTGTGTGTATTTGTGTGTATTTTGTCCTTCATTATGAGGAGATAAACCTGCCACTACTGCTGAACCTTGTCCATAGGTGGACCAGCATATTAATGGAGTCTTGTAAGTGAACTGTAGAGGATAAATTAATTGTAGCTGGACCTTTTACTAGTATATTTCCTATTTCCATTTCTCATAGATATATAAAAGACAATTGCAATAACCCTTATCCATATATCATTATATTATTGCCTTCCCATTGACTTTTTCTGAATGGTATTTTACCAGTAATTTTGTATTTCCATACTCTATTAGTGTAATAAATCGATTTTTTCTTGCATTTACATATCATTTTCCTAGCATAATTTCTCTATGATTTCAAATGCTGATTACGTGGAATAAAATAGGTAATGAGTGCGTGTCAGGTGAGAAAGAGGGATTCTTCCACCCCTCAAGTTATGACTAGTGGTGGATCATGGGTGGTGATTCCTAAGTGGGTCACACCCACTAGGCTTAATTCCGACTTCTCTTGCAAGCTGTTGTAAGTAAAAAAAAATGTAAAGAGTTGGTCATTGCTGGCATAGGTTAATTGTTCGGTGTTGCAAAGCTGAATTACTAGAGATATACGTCGCTACACTGACATGGAAAATTTCTAATATCTATGTAAATATTAAATTTGGGACGAACTCGTGCAAGTTCTCAAAGGGGCAAAAAATTTCTGGAAAGTAATCAAGGGAAATTAACAGGGCACTTAGGTCACTCAGATGCAGGGCTGTAGTGTGTTATGGTAACAGCCTTGTGAGGGTCAAAGACCGAGCTGCATTTGTTTACTCTTCCTCCCTGTGATAAATGGTATAAAACCGACAAGTTGAAGATTGAGACACTTATGCAACATATGGGAATCTTTACTAAAAAAAACGTATCGCCACACAGTGGCTTCGTCAGTCCAATACAAATCAAAAGGGTGTAAGGAGAGGAGGAGTTTGAGGTAATCAGAGTCTCAGCCTGGAGTCGATGTGTTTAGTTCATCAATTTTGTAGAAAGTATAGCATAGGGCCGTAGAAGTGGCTTATATACTGAGGTCAGGTGAGGCGAAGCAGGAGGAGGCGAGGTCATAGTGTAAACTAAAAGGACACAAGTGCAACTAATGTGACATTTAATTGTGGCAACGTTTCGCTCTCCAGGAGCTTTATCAAGCTTTGACAAAGCTCCTGGAGAGCGAAATTTAGAGTCAAGTGACTTTCTTGATACGATTCAGGATTGTTTTTTAAAATAGTTTGTGACAGAATCAACTAGAGGAAATAACCTGCTTGATTTGATTCTTGCCAGCAGGGAATCGCTAATTATTAATCTTGAGGTTAATGATAAGCTTGGGGAAAGTGATCACAAATCACTCAGTTTTAATATATCATGGAATTACCCTAATAATGGCAATCAAGTCTCTGTCCCTGATTTCTATTTGCCTGACTTCGTAGGACTGAAAAATTACCTGGGTGGGCTGAACTGGAATGACCTAACTGTGGGTCAGGTAGGTGGTGATGGTTGCCGATATGACGTTTTCCAGAGCATAGTTCTAGCTGCTCAGACAACTTATGTTCCAAATAGGGAAATCAGATCAAACGAAAATGATCCTAAATGGATGAACAATAGACTAAAACATCTCATTGGTCAAAAGAGAGGCATATATAGGCAAATCAAAGGAGGAGAGAGGCAGTTAAGAAATCAATATATTCAGTTAAAGAGAGAAATAAAAGAGAATAAGAAAAGCAAAAAGAGATTTTGAGGTTAAAGTTGCAAGAGAATCAAAGATTAACCCAAAAGGATTCTTTCAGGTATACAGAAGTAAGATTAGGGACAAGACAAGCCAACTCAAAAGTCACTCAGGTCAGGTCGAATACAGCGATAAGAAAGTGTGTAACATTTTTAACATGTACTTCCTCTAAGTTTTTACAAAGGAAGATACTAGCGATATTCCAGAAATAATAAATTATGTAGAACAGGAAGATAGTAAACTATGCATGACTAGGGGTCACAAGTGACATGATCCTTTGGCAAATAGATCAATTAAAACCTAACGAATCCCCGGGCCCTGATGAACTGCGTGCAAGGGTTCTAAAGGAATGTAAAGAGGAGCTCAGCAAACCTTTGACTAATCTTTTCAACATATCACTACAAACTGGCATGGTGCCAGATAAGTGGAAAATGGCAAATGTGATACCTATTTTCAAAGCAGGTGACAGGTCCTTAGCTTCGAACTATAGACCAATAAGCTTAACATCCACAGTGGAGGAAATTTATGGAATCAATAATTGCTAAAGCAGTTAGTAGCCATCTTGAAAAGCATAAATTAATCAACGAATCTCAGCACGGTTTTACAAAAGAGCATTCCTGCCTCACGAACTTCTTAACTTTTTTCACTAAGATATTTGATGAGGTAGATCATGGTCATGAATATGATATTGTGTATATGGACTTTAGTAAGGCTTTCGATGGAGTCCTACATCAGAGACTATTGAGGAAAATTAAGGCACACGGAGTAGGAGGAGAAATTTTTTCCTGGATAGAGGCATGGTTGACAAATAGGCAGCAGAGAGTTTGCATAAATGGGAAGAAATCAAAGTGGGGAAGCGTCATGAGCGGTGTTCCACAGGGGGTCAGTGTTGGGCCCCTTGTTGTTCACAATCTACATAAACGATATAGATGAGGGAATAATAGCGGCATTAGCAAGTTTGCCGATGTCACCAAAATAGGCCGTCGAATTCATTCTGACGAAGACATTAGAGCACTTCAGGAAGATTTGAATAGACTGATATAGTAGTCAGAGAATTGGCAGATGCAGTTTAATATAGACAAATGCAAAGTTCTAAACATTGAACAGGTAAATAACCATGCCACATATAAACTAAATAATGTAGATCTTAATATTATGGACTACGAAAAGGATTTGGGAGTTCTGGTTAGCAGTAATCTAAAACCAAGACAACAGTGCATAAGTGCTCGCAATAAAGAGAACAGAATCTTTGGCTTCATATCGAGAAGCATAAATAATAGTAGCCCCTCAGGTTGTTCTTCAGCTCTATATATCTTTGGCTATGTCTCATCTAGATTATGCTACATAGTTTTGGTCACCGTATTGCAGAATGGATATAAATGCTCTGGAAAACGTCCAAAGGAGGATGACAAAGTTGATCCCATGTGTCAAAAATCTTTCCTATGAGGATAGACTTAGGGCCCTGAATCTGCACTCTCTAGAAAGGCGTAGAGCCAGGGGGAAATATGACTGAGGTGTATAAATGGAAGACAGGAATAAATAAATGGGATGTAAATAGCGTGCTAAAAATATCTAGCCTAGACAGGACTCGCAGCAATGGTTTTAAGTTGGAAAATTTCAGATTCAGGAAGGATATAGGAAAGCACTGGTTTGGTAATAGATTTGTGGATGAATAGGACAAGCTCCCGAGTACAGTTATAGAGGCTAAAACGTTGTGTAGGTTTGAAAATAGGTTAGATAAATGCATGAGTGTGTGCGGGTGGGTGTGAGTTGGACCTGACTAGCTTCTGCTATTAGGTCAGATGCCGTGCTCCTTCCTTAAGTGAATGTGACCTGACCTGACTAGGTTGGGCATTGGCCGGTAGGAGAATTGGACGTGCCTCGCATGGGCCAGTAGGCCTGCTGCAGTGTTCCTTCTTATGTTCCGTGGCAGCGATCACTAGTGTCCCAGCCTTGGGCGCGGCTGCCACGGAGGCCTTGTCTCAACTTAAACCCAGGAAACGGAAATGCCTTGGAGGTCACTCAGCCCAGCGCGAGAGTGAGCTCCCATCTCTCTCTCTCTCTCTCTCTCTCTCTCTCTCTCTCTCTCTCTCTTTTCACCACATAACTTCATGTAGACCAAAATATCACGTATTTCTGTATACCACATACGTTCTCCAAGCATACATTGGAGTAAGGAATGTGAGAGAATGAAAGGTGGGGAGAGAAATTAAATTAGATGCAGAGAGAGAGAGAGAGAGAGAGAGAGAGAGAGAGAGAGAGAGAGAGAGAGAGAGAGAGAGAGAGACAGACAGACAGACAGACAGACAGACAGAGAGACAGAGAGACAGAGATAGATATAGATAAATAGATAGATAGATAGATAGATAGATAGATAGAGAGAGAAAGAGAGAGAGAAAGAGAGAGAGAGAGAGAGAGAGAGAGAGAGAGAGAGAGAGAGAGAGAGAGAGAGAGAGAGAGAGAGAGAGAGAGAGAGAGAGAGAGAGAGAGAGAGAGAAAGATAAAGAAAGAAAGAGATAGAGAGACGGATTAGGAGAATGAGGAGGGGAAGGAGGAAGCTGGAGTGTAAAAAGAGGAAGCAAAGAAGGAAAACTTTGTCATGCAGTGACCTCAGGTTCCCTCTTAACAACGCCACCGGCATCTCTGCTCACCCTGCTTCCACTTGTTAGGCTGTGTGGAGGGTAGTACGCTACCGACAGTATACACTCAGCTCGGTGTCTCTCTGTGGCTATACCTGCCTTGGTGAGAACTCCTACTATTGTGTCTGTGAGTGACTGAACCTCCCTTAGTGAGAACTCCCTCTACCCCGTCTGTGAGTGCTTGCACCTGCCTCGATGAGAACTCACACTACCGTGCCTGTGAGTGGCTGGACCTGCTTTAGTGAGAACTCCCACTAACCCGTCAGTGAGCGGTTGCACTTGCCTCAGCGAGAACTCACACTACCGTGCCTGTGAGTAGCTGTACCTACCTACATCACCGTATCTGTAAGAGACTATACCTGCCTCTGTGAGAACCTGCATCAGTGTGTCCCTGTGTGACTGTTCTTGCTTTAGTGAACATCCGTATCGGCTAGTCTATGACTGGCTGCACCAGACTTTGACTACTCTTAGCCTTTGTCCGTGTGCACGAGTATGTTTCTCCTTGTACTCGTCCCTTTCTTTGTGTATCAGTGTGTATTTGTATTTATCATTCTTTATCCATTTATATTGTTCGTTTATTTCTGCTTATGTCTACCATTAATCATTAATGTCTGAGGATCTCACTTTCAAGGATCACAACAGTGCCACGATCACAAGTGCAAAGAAAATGAAATGATGGATAATGAGAACGTTCAAAACGAGAGATGCCAAGCCAATGATGATCCTTTTCACATCACTCGTTCTCTCTAGGCTGGAATACTGCTGTACATTAACATCTCCATTCAAGGCAGGTGAAATTGCAGATCTAGAGAGTGTACAGAAAACCTTTACTGCACGTATAAGTTCTGTCAAGCACCTTAACTGCTGGGAACGCTTGGAAGCACTTGACTTGTACTCGCTGGAACGCAGGAGAGAGAGATATATCATAATCTACATATGGAAAATCCTGGAAGGAATGGGCCCGAATCTGCACACACAAATCACTCCCCACGAAAGTAAAAGACTGGGCAGGCGATGCAAAATACCCACAATTAAAAGTAGGGGCGCCATTGGTACACTAAGAGAAAACACCATAAATGTCCGGGGCCCAAGACTGTTCAACAGCCTCTCACCAAGCATAAGGGGAATTACCAATAAACCCCTGGCTGCCTTCAAGAGAGAGCTGGACAGATACCTAAAGTCAGTGCCGGATCAGCCGGGCTGTGGTTCGTACGTTGGATTCCGTGCGGCCAGCAGTAACAGCCTGGTTGATCAAGCCCTGATCCACCGAGAGGCCTGGTCGTGGACAGGACTGCGGGGTGGTCGATCCCCGGAATAACCTCCAGGTAGATTACAAACTTGATCAGTGGGTAAGGATATGAGATTTTTTTAAAGTTTTTGATGCAATAAGCGAGTTTATTGAGTGGTACCACTCATACTGTGAACATGCTGTTATAAAGACAGTATAAAAGAGAAAAGAAGAGAATATGGAAGAAAAGACTCAGGTTCAGAACAAGCTTTTGTTTTGATAAAGTTTCTACCTTGTTCAGAGCTCTCTCAGAGCAAATAATAAAGCACTACAGAGGGCAAAACGTTGTCTTAATAAAACCTTACTATTCACCTGTTGTTCGATTTTGCATCCACTAGGAACACTGTATTAAGCTTTTCGTACTCGATTACAACCAAGTGCATTTATTCACGAATCTAATAACCTAATTTCCTTTCTGTAAGCTTTAATGACGATTCTCGGCAGTAACTGTTATCTTTAAATAATGCTTACCAACACTGGTATTAATTATAAACAAACTAAAAAGAAATGGATGTCTTATCTTAATTTGCTACTTTCAGGATCTTATTTATGTATCAATCCCTGTGTTCACTGTATTCATATTACTACCCATTATACGACTTTCGATAGAAAGTTAAATGAATATTTTTAATTTGCTTTTCTTAAAGAAACTTCGTTTATACTAGGATATCTCCGATCGGAGACATTTAAGTAGTTACTTGAAATTTTATTTTAAACTTTCTCCAATTTTTCGTTTTTATTTCGCTCTTAACATGAGACCTCACCCGATCGGTTTCAAATTTTCAATGCTAGTATATGTTAGCTAGGAAAAATTCTTCGAACACTTGGTGTGAGATCTATGACGAAAGCCGTAAAGCCAATTCTCAGTATCCTGCAAAGGCTACGATAATTTCCAACACTCTCTGCTGCTTGTCTACAAACGTTCAAGAAGTTGCTTCCTAATTTGATGACGGCGCAGAGTGAAATTCAAGTGTGTAGATGAACATCTGCCAATTTTAGGTGTAAAATATAGTGAAAAAAAATTTCCCGTTAAATCATGGTAAATAACTTCAGTATTTTACTGCTGATGTCATCTTACGGCAAGGATATTAACTCTTCAAGTTTATTTTGTGCGCGGGCAGATTTCTGAGTGAACTGAATTAGTAAACAAAATTTGAAATCGGTTAAATCCGTGAGGTAACTGGAGAATACCTTCAAATTGTCGGCCATGATTTGTTTCTCGAAAATCAATGTTGGCGTTGTTATGAGATTGCGTAAGTCCCAGATCGCCAGTTATATTATATAAATCTTAATATTGTCTTCCTTTCAGTAACTAAAGAATGTCTCGTCTTAGCGGCTTGAAAATATTATCGTTGATTGCTTAAGTGCAAATTTTGAAAATTTAACTGAAAATTTAAAGTTACAAAGTTTGGAATTGTTGGATTAAGAACAATTATCGGAGAATGATTCAGACTTTCAGTGTTGATAGGCTTGGTTAAAAAAGAAAAGAAAGCTTAGCGTTCTCTTTAATCTACGTTTGATTTGAATTTCTATTTTTATGAACTAAATTTGTTTACATGAAATAACTAGAGAAAGATTCTTTTGGTAAACTTCAAACACTTTAGCGCTGGAATATCTTAACAGAGAGTACTTTTGTACTGAATGTGGGCTTCGTTCATGCTAATTTACCAGTTTTATGGAATATTTTTAACCAAATAGGATTTCCTTAAAACCTCGCAAAATAAAAAGAAATCCGAAAAAAGTGTAGTGGATTTTATATAGAACAGCACTGCAAAAGAAAAAATGAGAAATACTGAAAACTCACATTTTCATAGCGTTTTTAGTGTCTTTAAATACTGTACTGTAAGATTTAATGCCAGAACCATTACATTGAAAGCTTAGTGTTCTTGTCTTCTACCAGCTACCTCCCAGACTTTCGTTGTTAAGTTCAGATAGCCTTATCCGACGGGCTTCAAATTTCAACACTGGTCAATTATTACCATTTGAAGATTCGTGGAACAGTTGACAAGTACAGGTGAGCTCTGCTCAATTTTATACAGACCATTCCGTCTTTTGATCGGTTTCAAAATTCCAACGCTCGTGCATTCTACTTCGAAAAAGGATGGAATTGTTAATAGATTATGTGGATGCCATTTTTGCCACTTTTAATCTCGATGTGGTATAGCATTATTTTACATTATTGCATATTGCCTTGAGCTGGTGAAGGGCTTTTGTATTGTACTTATCCTCCCCTTGGATCGACCCTGAATGCTTCCCATTCCACAAGTGCTATATAACCCCTGATGGATTTGTGCTTTCCTTTGATTAAAATCTAACAGTTCTGAAAGGCATTAATCTTTAATGGCTGATTCGTCTTATAAAACTGATGAACCTTTTTATGGATTTAGATTTAGGCTGCTTAGGAGCATAATTTGTTAGCATCTTTCTGGGCAATAACTGAGGAATGCCTTTTTTAGTCAGCCTTAACTTTTACTGTTGATGTATTTTTCTTAAAGGCAGTTGCACCTTGAGTTTAGGTAGTGTGTTTTAACGTGCCAGTTTTATTAACAGAATTAATTTTTGTAAACTAACTGGAAGAAGTCTCTTCTGATAAGAAATAAGTCACAGTGTTTGGCTCTACTGGGTTATCCTAGATTATGTGATCATGTGTGAATATCACTTTTGTGTCGCTTCAAATCTTCAACGCTGATAGATTATCAACCCTAAAAACATTTACAGCATTTTGCAATATTTCTTTGCCGTGCATTGACGTAAAGAGACACCTTTCTCGAAAATGCGACCAAAATACGCCTAGTATACTGCATGGTCACTAAAGTTCCACAAATACAGCCGAAGTGAAGAGTAAGGAAAAGGTTACAGGATTGCATTACAATTCCTAAGTTCTTATTTCTAAAGTTTGTTGCTTGCATAAACTCACTTCTGTACTGGATATAGGCCTTTATAAATACTCACTTCGGATTACTTTTTGGAATCGGGTTTGCCAACATATCAACAAATATAAACTAAGAGATTATTTAGAACCACTTCCTTTTTTCAATTAAAAAAATTGTCTAGGTATTCCTACATTTGCCTTTTATTCGTCCAAATTTCAATTTATTCAGAAGTTTTTAGAATATTCCTTTGAAACTATAATGTGCCATACTTGAGCGTTTTATACATAATCAATTGATTAGCTGTTTATTTCAATATTAAAATATAATCCTTGTCCAGGCTTCTTAGCATTTTTCCTGCTTAACAACTGTCACTCGCCACACGGAATAACAGAAAAACTTGCGTTAGTTTCAGCAAGCCAAGTAAATTACTTGTTCACCAGATCCTTGATGGTAGATGAAGTGATATGTGCACTTACAGAGAGTATGCTGGAGATACTGCTTGCAGACTGTCAGAAGAAAGTGCTATGAATCTCTCGGCTGACTAATCCTGACTGGCTGTGTTAATGATACGTAAAGTTCTCCACCAGTCGTTGATAAAATGGGAAGGAAATTGAAGCCAGGCTAACACCTAATAAGTGTAGAGACACTCTTCGAGAATTCAGGGATGAAAAGCCTATAGACTCTCAGCCGAAATAACCTCTTCTCTTTTGTTTCTTGTATCATAATGATAGTAAATGTAACAAATTGTCTTTGTTAGTCGGCTTCCGATAAACTCTGAAGGTAAGGTTATTCTCAGTTCTGGAGAAGGTGGACATCTTGGAAGAGAGTTTTGTTTCTCATTTTCCTCCTTAAATTTAAATTTGGTAAATGATTTCACATCGTTGTGTTTGGAGAGCAGAGAATTAATGTCGAACCGTCTGGGTAGATCGAACAGAATTTCATCCACGTAGCGTAATCGTGACTTCTAGGGATGATTAACTAAAAAAAAAAATTTGCCAAGAAGTACTTAACATAAAAATTGGTAACTACGGCACTAACGTACAAATCTCTACCCATCCTACAACACCATCTATAAAATGAGTTCTAAAAATAAAAGCATATAAAATTAACACTGCTCTATCAGACCAACAAAATCTTTGGCTGATATTGG